ATATATGAGTATTACATACTAGCCTCTATTCTAGTCAAAGACTCTATACATTATAATGGTCTCAAGATGTTTAATCATTTACCTGACCATATTAAAATTTNTGTTCTTTAGGCAATAGAGCAAATTATTATTGTTATTATTATTATTACTTACTCCAATGTCTGACAGAAATCATGGGTAGATAGATTGGTATAGTAGGTTTCACGGTCATTGGCTGAACGATTATAATAATACCAATTAAACTCTCAAGTTGTAAAAGCAGAATCAAATGAAGGGAATATTACACTACACTACACAATGGGATTGAAACAGGTAGTTTATTATTGATAGTTGTATTGTTTATTAGTTGATAAGCCAATACCATTTAGAGTGAAGCATACTATAATAGAAAAGACCTTCCATCACTTTCACAATGGAGAAATAAGTCCACAACGAATTGCCATTCTTAGACGTATTGGTGAAGAGGGCCGACACATCTGTATACCGAATGGGAAACATCTGTATACCGAAAACCCACTCACGCGGGACAGTATCTGAACCACGAATCCAACCACCATCAATCGACTAAAAGTGGAATCATCAAGACTCTATTAGACCGGGCTCTGTAATACGCAGGAAGTTCTCGAGAAGAAACTAGACATCATCAAAAATGATCTTCAACGGAATGGCTACTCCAAAGAGATGCTGTCACAACCAGTGCTTGCACTTCCCCACATCACAGGATTATCGGAGAGGAAAAGAAGAATTGGTTCCAAGTACAACATCAGAACCTGCTTCAGATCCGGTAACACTATCCGTAGCAGCCTCACGAAAACCAGGCCACCAAACGCGGATTTCGGTTCCAAGAATTGCATTTACCGGGTACCCTGTGAGTGCGGAAAATCCTATATTGGTGAAACTAAAGAGGCCATTGAATGTTCGCATTGCCGAGCACAAGAAACACACACAGCGAGGGGAAACCAGCAAATCAGGAATAGCAGAGCATGTTTGGACCCATCAACACAACATCGAGTGGTCCCAAGCTGAGATCATACACAAAGAGGAACATTGGTTTAGGAGGAAATTCAAAGAAGCCGCATACATGTTGTCCAACAATGTATTCAGCCAAGCTTGCGCAGAGATAGGCAACATATAGAAGCCATAATCAAGTGAAAAATGGCCAACTCCCGCCAAACGGTCATCTCCCACCGGTGAAGCGGAAAAAGGAAAGCGGAGATAAGTGAAAGTACTCGAACGACCTATAAATAGTCATCTCTCGGAGGAATCAGTCCAGTTGTCACCCGAAGACGATTGTGGATACTAACAATCGAAACGTCGTGAACTAAGTGACTTGAAATATCTTCACTTTTAATTTTAATTTTTTGTTCAACTGTTCTATTTTTACTTGTATTTTATTTCAGTATTATTTCATTTCAGGTTTGTTTGCTTAATATAATTGTTATTTTCAGCTATTTATTTTCAATTCTTTTTTTTATATTAGTTCTTTCAGGGATTTCAAATCATTTTATATATTATCAGACAATGGAAGTCCGAACTAATAAAATTCACCTTAAAACATTGTCAATCTGTTCTGTTTCTGTTCTGTTTAAAATCTGTTTTTTCTGTTAACCAGTTGTCGCTCCCCTACGAACGACAACCCTCAGAAGTCGAAACTTGTGCGAGCTAAGGATTAACGAAGTCTTACCTTTTAACGTGTGATTCCTAACACCTTCAAACATTCGTGAATTGAGTCTTCGCTAGGAAAGATATCGACTTTTCTTGCTCAGGCTTGTCATTCAGGGACAGTTTGGCCCACCAATGCATCTGGCACTACTGATGATACCCGTGGCAGGTCGAAACAGCGATGTCTGGTGTTAGATCACGGAAGCGCCTTCTTTGGGGTCTAGTTTCAATAACTAGTGATACTATGAGGAACTTGGAAGATGAAAGGGAATGAAAATTGGGTTTATCCTCTTCCTTCTACACCACTGATCAACTGTATCATTCTTAATAAACGTATCAACTTGATCGTTGCACTGTGTAAATATTAACAGAACGATTCTCCAAATATTTACCATGTTGTTACATCCATGTTATAAATATCGTGTCAAGCACATTGAACAACGGTTTATATAACTGAACAATTCGCATAGGTATGTGTCAATTTTCATGTTGGGATTTTGCATTGAATGGTATTTAGTTTCCTCGCTCATTCATTGAATGTTGAGACTTTGTGAATGTTACTAAAAGTTTGATAGGAATAATGCACATGGAGTTTTAAAAGCGTAGCCGCATTTTTAGAGTCTATCGTCTTGGTTTTGTGACAAATCCTGTGAAACAAACCCCTGTAATTTTCATAAAATTGTAATGTTGTGAAAGATGAGACGAATATATTTTGGGTAGATAGTGAATGAGATTCCAATTAATCGATAAATAAATAAGGATAGGCCGGTAAAGTGCAAGAAAGAGGACGAATTTATCACATGAAAAATATTTCAATATTTAAAAAACGAATTCATGAAAAAACTAATTTTTGTGTGTCTATGTTGAGATTTTAATGCCTATCCTTTTAACAACACAACTTGTCTCTGCAGATCGGAATTCTGTTTACATTTGCCTTTTCCTTTCTGTTGTCAGTTATGATTTTTCTCTCTACACTCTGTTTTCTAGTAGTAAAAAGTAATTAATGCTAATTATAAATGCAAAGCGCGAACAGAGTACTCCGCTTTTTTCTATGCACTAGTTAGTATTCTTTCAAACTTTCTAGATCGATGACTTGCATTATCCATCACACGTGATCTCCCAGACAAGGCTGCTTGTACAGAGTCGCAGTGAGGAATGACCGAAATTTTATTTTATTCTTTTTAAAAATATGCGGCTGGGTATATACATTTTTTAAGGTGGAGTGTGGGGTCACAAATTGGTAGTTTCTTCAGCCCTATTTTCCTGTAGTGCTTGTGTTGTGTCCTTAAAAAAATGGTAATTGCTAGAATGCTGAGACTTAAACATCAATGAACCGTCCTCAACAAAACCATCAACACTTCCAATGTGGATACTAATCAATCGATTTCCTTTTCCAGGTGATGAATCTTTCTATTCTCTTCCCCGCCTCTCTTATCCGCCTAAGCAAATCATCTGAAATGTAATTCCTTTATGAGATATACCTACCTCGGTCGTCTTTGAAGGCTCCCATTATTTTGTCGAGTGTCGATATTTCTTTCTTGAAATAAAATAAATGTACTGTTCTTCGAATTGCAAGTTTGTAGTTTTCATCGACAGGCACAGTTTTTTTTCCTAAAGATGGTTTTGGGTATTTCAAAGCCTAATTTTTTTCTGTCATTCTTGAATTTATAAATCGATAACTTTGAAAGTAGTTTTTTTCTGCAGGAAAAATCTGGTGGCTGAAATAAGAGAAAAGCGTCAAGATTATTTTACCACCAAACAGATACCAACAGTGATGCTAATTTTCGCGTAATTACTACATTTGCAGTAACTTTAGAATAGTTTACTAGGATTTACTAGTTTTTGTGATGATTTATAGAGTAATTTCTTTCTGTAGTTGAAAATTGGAATAATTTTGTTGGTGTTTTGTTACGAGTATATATTTTAAATGAGAGGGACGCCAATGGATTGTGAGTTCTGTTAATACTTTGACGTATTATCTATGAGTGACACATGACACCTGTGACATTTGAGGAGATGACTGTCAGAATTCAAAACTCAGAAGCGTCAAATTAGAAGCGTGCTATATGCTTTGGTGGTTTGAGGTTCAAGGAACTTTCAAATGAGCCATTATTAAATAACTCTCTCTTTAGCGAGTTTGATTATTTATTGAATGAATATTAGTTTACTGTTATAACTTTTTCACAAAAGATATTTTCATATAGCTTTACTGGTAATTTTTCCAACGTATTGTTTATGTTTTTTGATACTTGTTGAAATACAAAACCGCCAAGTGCAAAAATAACTATTTGTTTGCCATTCGATAGTAAATCATCAAGTTCTATGTATTTTTTCTTGCATATGTCTGAATTTCCTTATCAAATTTTGAACAGATTTTTATTAAAAGTAAATCTTCATCTCTGAACGCTTGTTACTCAAAACGTCTACAATGTCTCTTTGCTCTTTAACCAAAATACCTACTATAACTTCCGGTTTTATTGAAGCGAATTAAGAAGGTGCCGCCATCTATTGGAAAATAGTAGAAGATACCCACCTTTTCAATTTGTAGATTTTTTTACTTTATAGAATTCTTCTGCATAAAGTATCCTTTCTGAACTATTATTGTCCAACATTATTTCTCCTAGATGTCAGATAAAGTGACAAACTATAATACTTTTCATAATCAGGAATAATTTTGAAGCACAATCGAGTTCGACCCTTCCACCACTGGCTGAACTTTTAATGTATGCAATAATTTCAAATTGTAAGCGCTTATATTTCTGACTATTACATTTGAGAAAACTTCAAACGTGCCGCCATCTACTGGCAAGTAGTGAAAGATACACGCTTTTTCAATTGGTAGATTTTTTACTTTCTAGAATTTTTTTAAATATTGTTCTTTTCCGAGCTGTAGCCTTGAAATATTTATCCTAGATGTCAGCACAGTGATAATACCGTTTTTTGAAGAGTACAACTTATTTCTTTTCAAACAACGATAATACCAACAAAATCCAAAGAATATCTTTATTAATGTGTAATGGACGTTCGAATATGGACTAGTTTGTAACCTTAGAGATTATCCTCATGCTGTGCTTGTGAATTTACATATTGTTGAGGCTGGTTTAAATTTTTGTTGATATCTCAGATATACATAGATTGAAAAAATAGTTTTCAATTGAACTGTTGTTGCCCCCTATGAACTAAAACCCTCAAAAGTCAAAACTTTTTCTAGATTGTTCAACGGGGGATATTAAAATATTCAATATCTCTAATAAACTCATTCAATTTTTGGTATGTGTCAGATGGTAGATTTGTCACTTCAACCTGAGATTAAGGAGACAGTAAATAAAACCAAGCGATCGAAAATAATACAATATTTTTATTCAAATCAACTGAACGGTTCTCTGACCGCGAACATGACAATAACGACTAGACAAAAGGGCACATGAGCTCGCGTGTCAGCGAAACTTTTATTTTTGTTTATCGCAACGTCTGAAATACAATATATAAATAATAATTAGTAAACATTCTACACCACACGGAGATGAAGATACGTCGGCGTAGATCTCGAAAATGGAAGAAGAGATTAGTAACCGGCAAGTTCGGCGAAAGTGGAGTCCATCTCGTCGGCGAGGGACTTGTACCTGTCCTTGTTGATTCCAAGTTCGTCTGTAACAGGCAAAATAACAATTTCAGTTCATATGCCGATCTGAGGCAACGTTACAAAAATTCAAAACGAATGTTGGGCAAACGTGACAAGGATGGCGACACGGAAGAAGGGACACTGTACGACTCACTATAAACATTCGATTGAAGATTGAAGAATGAAGATTCACTTTGTACACGGTATTTCACGTGAGTGACTTCATACAGGCTGATCCAAGTGTGCATACCATTGCCAACTTTGTTATGAAGGAGATCCCTCTCGTCTAATGAAAAACCCTACATAATTTTTTTCTTCTAATAGAAGCATGTGACTCTACGTGGGGTAAAAGAGCCGCAAATTATTATTCCTTAAAAACACTTGAGTTTCGAGTACATAGTCCAAATTTGATAATAATCCCCAGTTCAAAATCAAAAGTTCATATGTATTTTTTCATTGCATACTCAAGGAACTTCAAACACTTGAACCTAATGATTGTGTTCCATTCATTCGTGTATTCTCAGCAAAACCCAAAGAAAATGAACAGCAAATATTCCTTTGGCAATACATTTGTAGAGAGTCACTATAAAAACAGATGGGCTGTTCCTTAAACAAAAGTTGGAATTATCTAGAAGATAATCATGCCTGTATTGGGACAACTAGCCAATGAAATTGATAACATTTAGGCTTTTTAGCATACATTAGAATATATTAAACGTTTGCTAAAAGTGAGCAGCTGATTCCTTTTTACAGTAATGACAAAACAGCAACAACTTCATATATGTAATACATCTTGAGCGATCATCAATATAATATAATAAGAGGACACCAAAGACTCCCTTGGTTCGAATACTGATGAGGATGACACTGATACATATTACTAACAATTTTTTATTCCGCTACTCTGTAACTATTGAATATAGCAAAGATATATCCTGAGACTAGGGAATAACTCAGGACTGGAGGGTTTATTAGTGACGACCTCAGAGTAATAATAAGACACAGTGTTGCCATGCCTGTACGGTGCCTATACTAATACAATACATGTGTTTTGAAACGGTTATCGTTCTATCCTTTTCTGGTGAGGGGGTGGCCGGTAATGAGAGGTTATGGAGAGTTTGTTTACATTTGAAGTAAGTGGGACCATAAAACAGTGGCGGTCGGTTTAGTTCAATAGTTTGTATACTAAATAGATATTCTTGTGCAACCCGGTGTTATATCTGTTATTGCTCACTCAACAACTAATTTATCTCACAGAAAGAATATGATTTCCGTTTTGGTTTTTCTTTCTTTGCACGAGGCTTTCGAGTTGCATACAGACAATTTTCAATAAGAAATTACGGTTGTCATTTTTTCAACCTCTATTTGGTTGGGATATGTCAAATAATGAAATAATGTGAACCTAGTTTCAAAAACTTCATTTATAAGAATGAAATCAAAAAAAAATGATCATTACATATATCAAAAATATCCCCTTTCATAATGTCGGTCTACAAAGAACCCTAGATACCAATTTTGAATGAAATCACAGAATAATATCACAAAATAATACCACAAATATTCATGATTTCTAATCGTACCGCTTGTTTATCAAATCTGAGAATAAATTACAAATTTCTTCATCTGATTTTATGAAGCAAAGTTCATTACTATTGAAATTAATAATTATCATTGTTACGAATTAGTTCATTTGAAATTATTTAATTTTAACCAGTAAACCACGCGCTTTATTATAAAGTCATACCTAAATGAAAATCTAGTAGCTGGAAGAAAATAATAAATCAGATTTCCTATAGGAACTATTTGAACAGAATACATTTTCACCTGAAATGATTTATTCTATAAATATATAATATCCCTCCGGTTATCAACTAAACCGACCGCCACTGTTTTATGGTCCAACTTACTTCCGGTAAACAAACAAAGTTATGCTGCCTTCAATGTAAGGATGGAAGAGGCCTCTCTATTGTCTTTTGTTACTCTGAGGTGAGGACTGTCAAATGACATGGAACGCAAATACTTGAACATTTGATTTGTATTAACCAATAACATGTAGGTTGGTTAGTAGATGCAACAAACACATACAGTAAACTTACCAGTTCGAATTTTGGCGTAATGCAAGAAGCGTAAACATCCGCAGTTAGCGAAATTGTGCTTCGATTGATTAGCTGTTCTAACTACGAGGCTATAATGAGAGCTTACGAATATGGTTACAGTAATATACAAAATAAAGCTATTTTATTTACAGGTTACATTTTTGTTAGCTAATATACAAAATTAAAAAAGCCAACTGAAGCATTAATATTGTATTGATGCGGAAAAATGTTGAAAGTATTAAAAAACTAACGATAAAAAACAAAGAAAATGAAAAATCTTCTGTAAAACATTCTACTTCGCGAAACCCAAGAAAGTGTTATGATTTCCACCACTCCCGAAAAAAACACCTTCTTACTTTTTCGAGCGACTGTGAAACTGGATAAGAAATCAAAATAATCTATGGGGGATAACATTACGCGAATTTTTCAAGAGTTCTATTTCGGGGATGGTTTCAAACACCGCTTGGCTTTTCATNTTGAATAAATGTCTGAGGAAGATTTTCGGGTTGATGAATAGTCGGAATCAATACAATGGTGTTAGTAACTGTAAAGTAAACTAGCTTATTTCTTTTGCCCAAGCGACGACATTTCGACAAAGGTTTTGTCGATGTCTGTGACAATGCCAAAATATTTGTTCTTTTCCCTGAGCACAAAATCTGAAAAGCAAAAAGCACCGGATTAAAGCCAAGCGAAGAATATGAAAAGCAGCTTCAGCGAAATTCTCAGACGTTCTCTTTTACCTTCGAGTCTGTCGACTTCCTTCTGCAGTTTCTTCACCGTCTTCTCGGCGTATTCAGCGCGCGCTTCGGCTTCCTTCAGCTTGACGGTGAGACTCTTGAGTTGCTTCTTGAATTCCTCTACCCTCTGGTTAGCCTTCTCTTCGGAAACTTCCAGAGATTTGAGGGAGTTTCCTACTACCTTCAATTCTTCTTCGAGCTCCATGATCTTGGCGTCTCCACCCTGTATAGAAATTCAAGTTGTCATTTGTACATGTACCCATTCTACATATATATGATATGATAAAATGTGACATCTATGAAGTGCTGTTAAAAGCTAATTTCTGAATTCCGTATAACCGGTATTGGCAGATGTTCCTCTTAGCATATGCCATCTTTGGTTCACAAGTAACATGAAAATAGGTAATGAGAGGGAATGAAAGGAGGAAGATTTGACAAGGGGGGGGATCAGAAAGGAAAGAGGGTTCCCTCTGGTAGAGGTTAGAAGGTGGAAGAGCTCAATACCTTGAGGTTGTTTTTTTGATGGAAAGTAATCGCGGTGATTCTGGTAAATCTGAATATTTCGTGGTGATCACTGTGGATTTAAGTTAAAGCGATCGATATTTATTTATAATTCGCTGATGAATTTGGATTATAGTCCTGAGATTTTCTGCTGACAAAATGTCTTCCTGGTTCCAGGTGTCAATCTTTATATTTTTGTAAATAAATGCATACATTGTTAAAAATTTATGGTTTTCTGGTTCACCTGATCGTAGAAGGAAGTTTTGGTAAATTTTCGTTTTGAGGGCACCCGGCGATTTTGAAAAAATGCGTAGATTACGAAACCGAAAGAAAAAAGTGGCGCTCTCCCTCATTTACAAAGTTACGGCCCTTCAAAGTTCAAAAAAGGGGGACTTTTCAACCTTCAACAAAATAAACTATTTAAAAACACAAGCATTTATTCACTAGGTCACGTTTACACCTTACTCCTCCTTCTTTGACACACACTTTTCACTTCAATAATCAACATTTTTCTTATAAAAAACTTAATTTAAAAACGAATGCTTCTCCTGGTGACATTCTTCTATTTCTAGGTTAGTTACTAGTGACATTTCAGAAAAAAGCGGTTGGTATTTGCCGCCGCCAACCTTAAAAACTTAAAATACAGAGATATGTAACCAAAAAGCAGCTCCGTACATTTTTTAANTTCAACAATTTCTTTTTCGAAATCTGTTTAGATGACAAGAAAACTGTCATCACCAAGTTGATCTACTCAAGAAACTATGGAAGTTGTGTAATTTTGATGAACGCACATTATCGGATATCATATTTATACGGGGTATTGGAAAGTAAGTCTAATATTTCCAATTTTATTTTATCCTAAATCTGTATTGTTGATGAGAAAACGATTATCAACGCGTCAATCTACTCAAGATTCTATAAAAAAGTTAAACACTGAATAGTCTTAATGATTCCACGTTCAACCTATAGTGAATAGGTATTTCCAGCCACAGATATTAGTACGAGTGCTAATAATTTCGTATTCCAACCACAGATTTTTATTTTCCTCTACGTCAGCATGTGTGGCTAGAAATCTGTAGATAACTTCACGCCAATGTATTTTTTTCCCAACAGTGAAAAAAAAAAATGCTGGCGCTCAGCCATACAAATATTTAATATTCAAAATTTTTACTTGCTTAGTACATTAATATTCAGAAACTAGCAAAGTTGTCCAAAGAACTCACACCGTTCGCTACTGACTAGCCTGAGTATTCAAAGTATTGAAAGCACTACAGGAAAATCCTTGATGCGCTCTTAGAGCGGTGTCCGTGCTTGTGCCGGACAACACATTTGAAACAACCTAGCACTCAATTTATCGTATCTCGTAGTTCCAGACTGTACGTTAATCTATCAAAGTCGATCAAATCCAATCCAAAAACCTTGTAGATTAGATATAGATTGCACGATAGAGATTCACTTTATAGTATAAATAATCTTTTTTTACAGTTAATAGTTGAATAAACAGCGCAAAATCACAAATAGTTTCGTTTACCTTGACACGGTCTTCAGCTACTTCGAGTTCATCTTCAACAAAGGCCAGCTTGCGGGATACTTCGTCAGATTTGTTGTCGGCATCTTCAGCGAGTAGACGGGCTTCCTTCAATTGATTGGTGAGTTGGTCCATACGTTCCTCGTCTTGTTGGGCACGGTTCTCCAACACCTTGCACATACTAGAAAAAAACATATATTTCTTTGTGCGAACTATTGTGAATAACTTCGACCGAATTTTTTCCTTCTTTTCTTCGACATTGTTACACGACACTTTACCTTTCCATTTAATTCAGACTCAATTTGAATAATTGATAAGAAGGAAGCGCGATAAGTGTCAAATTGACAGCTTCGAGTGGATTTAAGCTCCCTTCACTTTCCCTGGATTACTTTTAGGAAAGTAAAATTTCCTTATTGGTCAAATGAACTGTATTTCGGCGATAGATGAAAAGCTTTGTGGATGTGGCTTTAGTCGGTTCAAGGAATTCAAAACTCAAATAATCTATGACTAAAAGCATAACCACTATCCCTTTGAATTGTAAAATGAAATATAATTGGATATTGTTTGAAATGCAAATCACTAAAGATTCACGGCTCATCGTTTAAGGTTGCTGGACTCATCAGCTCTTTCAAATAGAAGTAGAAGTAGCTTTCAGGAAAGAGAGCAGACACTTTGAGATGGCAATCAACAAAAGTCATCAGATCCTGAATTATTCCCAACAAAAAATGTTCTAAATGGACCCAATGACAAAACTGCTAAGCATTTTTATGCAATGCTTTTCAATATTTCCTATACAGCGTGACTCACGGTCGATGGTAGGTTAGACGTTTCTGGAAAACGCAAAGCATGATTTTTATGAAAATTTCACCTGTCACATTTCCTTACCTGTTCTATCGATCTAAAATTCTTTCAGCATTGCGTTGGCACTTCTATCAAAAAGTTCTAGCAATTATATTTTTTTAAATGGAACACCCCGTATATTAATACATTTTTGGAATCGCTCTNAGCACGCCCTGTATGATATGGAGTAGATTTCTTGGTGTTATTTGAATGTTTCGAGTTTGTCCAAACTATCATCAAAATATCAACTTTTCATGAATTGAGAGTACTGATGTACTTAATTTCAATTAAGGCTATGTTTTGGACCATATTTAGCTCAATTATTTTTTTATCTCGAAAACAGATAGAGATAGGTATAGGACATTATTAACAAAAAAGTATTGAAATACCAGAGCGATTTCAAAAATGTATTAATATACGGGGTGTTCCATTTAAAAAAATAAAGTTGCTAGGACTTTTTGATGGAAGTGGTCACGCCGCAATGCTGAAAATATTTTTGATCGATAGAACAGGTAAGGAAATCTGAGAGGTGAAGTTTCCAGAAGAATCATGCTTTGCGTTTTCCAGAAACGTCTAACCTACCATCGACTGTGAGTCATGCTGTATGTATAGTTCGTAGAAGGAAACATTACTCAGGTTGAAAAACTTACCGCGAACTTTCGTCAGCAGCTTGCGAGGCTTCTGCGAGTTTGGTGGTAGCTGTGGCCAAACGTTCCTCTGATCTTTCCAAATCTTCTTCAATCAGTTGTACTTTGCGGTTGAGGCCAGCTACTTCAGATTCAGCCTGAAATAAATTCACATTCAGTATTAAATTGGCTACCAGAGATACATTATTTTGGTGAAATTGTGCATCAAACTACTCATTACGTTTTCGGACAAAGAGGCAAAGAGTAATTGCAAAAATCAGTTCCTCACAGCCATACTCGTGGGAGTCCTTCTTTGGTCTGGCCAAAAACGGTCAGAGGCAGATCTTGGTCATCCTTTCATTTATTTGTACCAGATAGTGGTTGTTTTGAACTGTCAACAACACTGACCCATTTTGAAGCCTTCAAAGAAAGGTTTTCCGTCCGTTTAAAGTTTGAATTATTAGTATCTTCAAGTCGAACTAACGTTTCGGTAATGAAGTTTTGTCAAAAATGTTCCTCGTCAATACTATTCAATCTTCCGTGGAACTCGCACTTTCTCATCTTCTCCTTGTTCCTCTTTGAAGCACTTAGCTTTCAGTCAGAAACATCCAAGCTGGTATGAACTTCCAAAAAAGTCTCACCTCAATATTAGACTCAACAAACTGTTTTTGACCACTCTGAATTGCAATAGCTCCATCACTGAAACCAATAAAAATGGAAACTGGACCCAAGTGACACAAAAAATGAAACGGAGATATTTGGTCGGTCATACTGAAGAAGAGTGCGAAGTGGAAACAGTCCCACGACTTGTCTCACTTCACGTAACCAGGCTCAAACAAGATACCAAGCCCGAAGATCTGAAGACATTTTCGAAAAAATCACTGCCACTAGTTGAATGTGAGGCTGTTACTTCGAAAAAACTTGAACTTTATGCGTCTGTAGAGGTGACAATTAAGAAAGAACTGTTGAATGAGGCATGGAGGAGAGAGGTATGGCCAAACGGAAATCTGTTTTTTTTGCCAAAAAGAGGATGCTATTCATGACGCTGGATCCTCAACATAAACAACCCACCTGAAGGATGTAGAAAAAACTCAATCTTCTTCCACTAATGGAGAAAACTTGTTCAGTGATGGTGATGATAAAAGAATGAGAATTTTCAAGGTGAGACCGTTAAAATTAGGTTTATACTGTATTTATTGCAAGAAAAGGCATTACAGACGATTTCTTATGACCGAAACCTGTCATTAGCTTCAGGTTTTGCCGAAAAATACTGAAAAACTGAACTCTTGTTGAGAGTTTTGAACTTCTGACGAAATCTACAAGCTCGTGCATGCTTCTAATAATGTTGTAAAACTATTGTTAGGCTTCAGCAGCTTCAGTATTGTCTGAAAGGCCTACTGCCGNCTACTACTCCATCTTGATACCAAAAAAAATTAGTCACTCCTAAAAATATAACCCCTTTGATTCAAGCTATTTTATATTATATCTTTTTTTTCTAAACGAGTTTTGGAAGAAATTTGAAGATACGAATGAAAACTACAATGTGTCTTTGTACCACAATGTTGGTGACATTTTGAAAAGGTAAAAAAATAACCTTTTCTCTGGATTTTCGCCTTCCACAATCTAAACAAATAAAAATTGTAACGAAGAACTTTATACAGCTGTAGAAAAAGCCGATAATTTTAGTTCTACCCGATAATTATGTAAATCCAAAGTATTTTTCACAAAGAAAAATGTCTTATTCACCATTACATTGTTTTATTCAATAAGTCATAATCATAAATAATTTTATAATAGTGTGTCTTATCAATTGTTCAAAATTATATTTTGTGACACTAAAAATAAAAAATATTCAACACAATCTCACCTGAGGTGCTGATTTTCAAGAATTCGATTTGAGATATGGGTTATTGTTACAGAAATATGATATTATTATTGTTGATAGATATCGATTTTATCATTCGCTGATACTGAGTAGTATATTAATTGTTCCTTATTGTTCTAGTTCCGTTTTCATTTACAAGCAGCCTTTGATGTCGGGACAACTGTTTGTTTCAAAACAATTATATACTTTCGAAAAATTCAAATACACTAGAAAATGTTTGCGATGATGAGTTGTTTTGAGCGTGGAATCTTTAAAATATATTTCAGTATTACTTTACAATATTCTCGCCACATACGTATAAATCCTTAATGACATTTGATGATACGTCAATGGGAATCTCTTCGGGTCTTGCTGCCTACTGTACTGTAGAATATAGCAAAAGGAAATTTTCCTTAATTTATTTTTCCAATGATGTCGAAGAAAAAAATTGATTGTTCTATATTCTATAGTATAGGTGACAAACGAAGATCATGATTCATAGAAAGTATTTTTAAAAGGTATAAACTTAGATGAGAAGGAAATGATAACGTTGAAATTGAAATCTTAAATATTGGTGGTGTGAAACTTCCAGTCACCAACAAAAAATGTATGGAAAATGATTGTCATTACTACCAAAAGACGAAATTGTTACGGAAAAATGAAAACAGAAGAAAACAAGAATAAAAATGATCTTTCTGGGGAAAAAATAAACATACAGTACCGCCCTTCACGGGATACCCCTACCTGGCTGGGGTGGAATGGATGAAAAAGCTATTAATCCGTTAATGGGGGACATGAGGGCCTCATTCGACAGAGTGTCGGGGCCTTCTATATCGGAATGGGTCGTCTACAGCATAATCTATAGCTTCCCTAACTAACGAAGGGGCCCCCAAAATCGACCCGCTCGAAGGGGTCAGAGACAAGGCCCATAATGATGATTTCCCTACCGATGACAACCCTGGCAATGCCATCGGATGCTTTGATTGGACGCACGAGCTAAGAGATAGCCTTATGCATTGCTACGGGAGTAGTGAGCCTGCGCGAAGAGGGAGCATGCCGACTTTTCCGCCCAAAATTTTAGGGATTACGTATCCTATCTTCGGCGGCAGGGCTAAGTAGCTCCTTTCCAGCCTGCTAACGAAGTGTTGAAGTGACAGTTCTGTGCATGTTGGTACATCTGGAGAGGGGACTCGCCACCAATGGCTCGCCACCAAATTTGTAAACACATTGTTCGATGATCTCTAGCAGTATTAATGTAGAAGACATCACAGTAAAAGGACTGGTCATGAGGGGATGTCCACAGGGAGAGGTCTTTATCGCCTCTTCTGGATACCCTAATTAATCACCTTAACAAAAAATGGATTCTACACAATTGCATACGCAGATGACATAGTTATCTTGCAGACCGGCAAATTTGTAAACAAACTGAGCGATAGAGCGCAGGATGGGCTCAAATTAATAGAAACATGGTGTAAGGAACACTCACTGTCGATCAATGCCAAGAAGACTGAGATGGTCTTTTTCACCAAGAAAAGAATTTTAACGGGTTTAAAACGTCCCGAAATTTTCAAAAGCAAACTAAACTTCTCTGAAGAGGTGAAATACCTTGGTACTATCCTCGACAAGAAGCTAACATGGAACTCTCATCTNTAGATAAAATCCTTATCAATATGACACATTGTTCAGAAAAAACTACGAGAAAAACGATGGGAGGAATGATAACGCAGAAAAAACCCAAAAATGGAACTCTTTTAACAGTTCACGACGAAATAAAAACATGGAGGAAAACTGAAGAAATTGTGAAACTCAAGGCTCCCTCAACCCTAAGAGGTCTACAGTAAGAAACTTTCTGAAGTTCAAGGTTGAATAAGCTCTTTTAAAAACCACATGATCCAAGAAAATCCCCCTCCCCGACGTAGTTCAGAACGCTCTCCAACTAAACCTAGCGGGGCTAGTACCACGTCGTGTGCAAATAAATTCCATCCGAAATGTATTTTTAAATCAGATAACACGCTTATTTACTTCTCAGTTACCCAATCTGACAGTCCTATAACTTTAAAATTAGCACGATTTATAAATATTTTTTCAACGGGCGATGGTTTGAACCCACGCGTTGTATTTCGAATAAGCTTATATTTTCGATAGAGTATTGAATGTTGAATGGGATACCAAAATATGGAGGTGGAACGGTTGCCAGCTTGTTGGAAATTGTTGTTTTCAACTCTGATGAAACAAATCCGAATTTATCTATTGCAGGATACAGGGTGGCTAACCTCATGAAAATGATTCAAGTGGTGACAAATCTGGAGACTGAGGAGGCCATTAGAGGCTGCTTCTCCTCCCAAGCCAGTACCGTGGAAAATGTCGATGTAACTGAATTAATAAGATTTATTGAAAACATTGTATTATGAAGTGAACTGTTATTAGATCAATAACTATCAAGAAGGTAGAGAAAAAGTTACAATCGTAGTAAATGAGTGTTTTCCAAACTAATATGAGCTTTGGAATACTACAGGGATATATTTTGGGGCCATTTTTGTTACTACTTTATGTGAATGATGTGCAGCAGCATCGCAATGTTCGTTATTTACATGTATTCACTGTCGCTTTTCTTAGAGTACATATTATAAAAATCTGGAAATAGCGGCAATATTTAAAAATTAATAAACCGATAATTGATATGAAAAAATTAAAGCAATATTAGTTACAATGAAAGCAAAAATGTCAACAGAATTTTTATTCAAGTATTTTGGATTAATGCTGGACCAGGAGGTGGATAGATAGACAGACTTTGGTCTTCAAATATCCCAGCAAAAAAATGTCAATTGGAGTTGATTCGGGAGATTAAGATGGACATTTCTTTACCCTATCATATAAAATAGAGAGATTTGTGCCATATATCGAGGCAATAGTTAATTTTTTCAGCAGTTAAAGATAAATCACATCATTGAAACTAAAGTTTAATTGAGAGAAAAAGTCCTTTCAACTTAATTATTATATACTGACGATATTTTTGTCTAATGATTTGTGTGAAGTACTGTTGATTTCCTAATCTTTTCAACAAAATGTACCTATTCAAGTTATCGTAGACATTTGGAAAGGAATGAGTCAATGATTGGTAGATACGCGTTTCACCAAATAAATTGACGTCATCAGGACCTCCATAACTGTAATAAAAATCAACAGTCCTATCGCAATAGATTCAACACCTTGAAACCTTTTGATCATTTCCATAAAAAAACTGTTAAGATATACAAGTTTTCAAACCAAACTTTTATCGTATATTCAACCTTAACATTAATATACTTCCAGTTGAAGGAAGGAAAAATCTACTAGCAATACACCACGCCTATTTCGATGGACGTCAAAAAATCCGTTCAGTTTTCAGGAATGCGCTTATTCGGTCGGCGAGACGAATCAGCTGAAATTAC